TACCACCTGGACAAGCGCAGCCTACCTTTGTTAATTTCTCCGCAAGCGGCCCTCCGCCCTACGCACAACAAGGTGTGATGCCTCCATGGGCAGCTGGAAACCCTCATCGGCCAGCGTATTTTGCCAACGGCCCGCCGATCAACTACTCTGGACCTCCGCAGATAGTGACTGGTCCACCACCCAATTTCCTGGCTCAGGTGCCGCCTGCCCTTGCTGCGCAATTAATGCAGATGCATGCGCCTGGTCATGGCCCGCCCATCAATTTCCCATTCCAAACCAGCTTCAACCACCAGCAAGGTCCCCGGCCATCAAACCTTCCACAGCCTCAACAAGCGCCCCCACCGCCCCGTACTATTGAGTATGTCAAATACCCATGCGAGGACCTAGAGATCAAGCAACCTCGTCTACAGGTCAACCGACCACCATTGAAGTTCCTCTCCGACGACGTTCCTGAAGGAGTCGAGCCGCCGGCTGACGAGAAAAAGACCGGCATCTTGATGAAGAGTATTGGCCCGTTGCTCTGTATCTGGGAGACTCTCAACGTTCACGATACCATCTACATGCTAGACTCTTTCACCTTCGATGACTTTGTCGACGCGATGCGGTTCTCGCATGAGACAGTCGAGTGTGAATTGTTTGTAGAGATGCACTGTGCAATCCTGAAGCAGATTGTCAACGACTCCGGCAAGATCCAGACGTCCCTACCTAACATGGCCGACGGCGAGGATTCATCAGACGAAGATTCGAGCGAAGAGTCAACGCCCACACCTGAGCCGGAGCCGCCTGTTCGAACTACTCGTAGCAGTTTGAGGAAGTCGGGTGCAGCCCAACTTGTTGCTAAACCACGCACACCCACGCCTGAGCCTCCGAAAGAACTCCACAAGGCCGAGGAATTCGATAACGAATTCGACTGGGTCGAGCAGTGCAAGACTCGCAACTTTGCGGACGGTGGATGGCAGGCAGTCATGGTCGCACTCCTCTACCGCCTTTCCTTTGATCCCGCGCGGAAGGAAGCGTGTGACGAAATCCTTGCTGAGCTTGTCCCTCCTGATGAAGAACCTACCATGACCACCATCGCCACCAACTACGCGAAGCTCGATGTCAACCTCCGCATCTCTGCGCTCGAGATGATTCTGAATCTTACTGTTGTCACTGAGAATTTCCGCGATCAGCTGGTCGCTGCCGCCCAGGAAATGACTCGCTTGCGCAAGGAAAAGATTGAGTACCAGCGCAAACGCAAAGAGCTGGCTGATGAACTTTTCAAGCTGGATTTGGAGCGTAAGATCCACCTTCCTGCCAACACGCCGGCGTCGCCTACGGATGCCAAGATGAATGACGACGTGGATGCATCCATGACGAGCGTTAACGATGGGTCTAAGGAACCTGCCGAAGCCGAAGCGGACGGTGGCAACGATGCACCTACTTCCAAGGGCAGGACCCGTCCGGCGAACAAGAACAAGCGCAAGGCGGCTGCTGAAGAAGCTCGTAAGGAGAAGGCGAAGAAGGCCAAGGCAGATGCTGAGAAGACCAAGAAGCAGAAGGAATGGGAGAAACTACTACAAGCAATTGAGAAGAAGAAAGACGAGCTCAAGGAGTGCGAGGACAACATCAACGAGCTTGACGATGATCTGCGCGAAACTCTTGTGCATCGTAGCAAGATTCTTGGCAAGGATCGATTCTTGAACAAGTACTACTGGTTCGAGCACAATGGTATGCCATTCGGCGGTGTCCCCAATAGCTCTACCGCCGAGTACGGGTACGCAAACGGACGAATCTGGGTACAGGGACCGAGCGAGTATGAACTTGGCCCAAACTTGGAGGAACCTGCCCTGTCTCAAGACATGCAGCGCTTTGGCTACACTATCCCGCAGCGTAAAGAGCGAGAAGAAGGCCCGACGCACCTGTCCAACTCGAACCAGTGGGCGTTTTACGACGACCCGGAGGACATTGACAAGCTACTTGCGTGGCTCGATGAGCGCGGCCATCGAGAACGTGTTCTGCGCAAAGAGCTACAAGCGTTCCGTGACCGTATCGCCGAATACATGGTCAAGATGCGGAAGCATCTGGAGGACTCCAACAAGCCCCAAGAAGAGGACGATGATGACAACAAGACAAGAGTGTCGACGCGAAACAAGACCTATGTCGACAAGGACACCCCCAAGGATCGCTGCTTGCTCTGGACCAACAGCATCATGCGTGAGGAGTTTGGCCACAACCACGTCGAAGAATACGAACCGCCAAAGAAGGGCAAGGCGAAGCCTGTCAAGGCATCCAAGGCTAAGGGCCGAGGCCGTTAATGCAGTCTCTTGGTGCCACAAGCCCACGCAAGAGGCGAAGCAAAGTGGAAACGACCACAGGCTTGCTCTAAACCAAGGCCACAAGATGTATATCAGCCTACTGGGCAGCAACGTATTCGAGGATAACGAGCTCCACAGAGCTAGTGAGGACTTTGGCAACACCGCAGTACATTTACGAATGACGACACAGCATACTTTGGCGATCTACGGCGTTTTGATACCATGAGCCTTGGTGCTCAAAGTACATGTTGAGCATTTTAGGGAGTTCGGAAGGATGCAGAGCTGACTGCCATTGCGATGGCCAGTCTTGCCAGCAGACTTGGTTCATGGTTTTAACGGATATCTATCTATGGCGGGTTCTTCGGTGGTGTGCTCAGTCGACATTCTGTCGATCTTGACGTGCATGGCGTTTAGCATTTGTCAAGAGCGCACATTGTCAGTATAGCTAGAAATACCAAAACGAGATTGAATTAGTTTCCGTGTGTCATGTGAAGTATCAGTTCCAGCGCTGCATTCCACGTTCGGCATGAATTCTTGAACTGTTCATGTTCGGTTGGTACCTAACACCTGACTAGCTGGCCATTTCGGGTTAGTACGCGATGCGCGGCTGCTTGACGCGACCGGAGGCCGCCATCAGCAGCGCATGCAACCAGACCTGTCGCCTTCCATCAGCAAGAGACATTTTAACATCGGATACGTCTCCACTACACTTGGAAAGATCCCTCGGAGTGATTAGAGGTCCACCGAAGCACTCCGCAGGCGTCGTAGAGCCGCCAACATGGCTACGAATGGCACACGAAAGGGTGAGCTGAACTCCGCACCCCTCCCCGGCGCCGCTACGATGGAACTAATGTACCGCAGCACCTTCAGCCACAGAATCTGGAGGCAACTCTAGCCTACTGGACACAAGCGCAGTGAAAGACATAGTCAAATCGGAGAAAGCCAGGATCAAGTTGAAGATCAAGAAGCCGGTACCGAAGCCGTCGATATCTGGGAACTGGAAGGAAAGCGACGCGACCAGTACGTCACCCACAGCGCGCTGTATCTGTACATGCACGTGAGTCTACACAGCGGTCTAACATGTTATTAGACGTCGAGACCAAAGCCCCCGCTCCGTCGACCACCTCGCCTGTGATCAATCCTCTGGACGAGAAAACGATTGCCGGCTTCCCCAGCGGCCGACCCCTAGACGATAAAGTGGACACAGTACAATGTAAACACTGTCGCCGACCCGTACTTCGCGCATCGTCTGCGGCGCATATTCGTGAATGCTTGAACAAGAAGCAGGAGAAGCTAAAGAAGAAGAAGGAGGCCAAGGAAGCCAAAGATGCAGCTCTGCGGAAAGAGAAGGGCGAAGATGACGAGGGCGGCAAGTCGCGCAAGTTAGCCATCAAGGGTGCCTCGATAGACGGCGATGGCGCAAAGAAGGGCAAAAAGCGGAAACTCGACGGAGACGCGGAGAAGGCGCCGAACGCCAAAAAGAAGAAGAAGGATGAACCCAAGCAGAAGGGAGCAAAGCCCAAAGGCCCAGTCGATGTTGAGAGGCAGTGCGGTGTCTCTCTACCGAACGGCGGATACTGCGCAAGAAGTCTGACTTGCAAGAGCCATAGCATGGGTCTGAAGAGGGCCGTTCCAGGACGAAGTCTACCATATGACATGTTGCTGGCGCAATATCAGAAGAAGAACCAGGCTAAGATTCAACGTATGTATCCCACAATCACCCAGCTAGAGACATTGTGTACTGACATATTCTTAGGATCTCTCATTGATGCCAACGCGCCCCTCCCCGAAGATCTCGAGCCCTCGGGCGCTGTTGATTCCGACGAAGAGAAAGACTCTATAATGGCTGCCCTCTCTCGACATCGGCCACGGCCCATGGCAACATACACGCATACCTCGCAACGCTCGAAATACCAATACATCCGCATGAAAGGCATGATCCGCTCAGCACTTGGCGCGCCCCCAGGCGGAGGCGGGTCCATGTTCTCGGGTGGTGATAATATGAGCACTGGACGGGGGATGGCACTCGGTATGATGGGCGCGCCACTGAGTGCCACCAATGAGCACTTTCCGCAGAGCGTTGGATTCGGCGCCCCGCTGAGCGCTGGTCTGGATGGTGGAGCAGGGAGCAGGAGGCCAAGTGCTATCGGTACAGGCGGACCCCGACAGATACTCCCTGGACAACTACCCGGACCTGGCCAACAGCGGAAGGGCAGTATAGCGAGTGTTAGCGCCATCTAGGAGGAGGCTCTTCTTCCTAAAAAAGCCATGTTGGAGGAGCCATCCTATGCTACGGGTAAAGACAATGACGAGGAAAAGGTTACGAAGACGAACGTTGACAATCCATGGGAGGGTATGGGAATCGAAGCGTACAGAGATGCAGTGGCGTTCACGGATGGGACATGACTTTCACATGATGGCTTTACATGGGGTGGCACGCTTCGGCAGGGCTATGGAATGTACCCTTGGGTTTGGTTCATGTATTATTTGGGGTCGGGAGTTTGACATGATACCCTCTCAGTTTTTTATGATTACCAGGAGTATTAGACGTTGATATTCAATGGCATTCCTTTGATCTTTGCAGAGGCCTGATCTCTAGTCTAATGCTGACGAGATACTGGGAATGCTTCTAGGGAAAGACGTTCAAAAAATAACATGGCTGATGTGCGGCGAAAGCGGACAGTATCTTAGTAGACGACCATGTTATGACTCCCCTTGCATACCCCAATATCCCACTCTCTGTGCTTTGGGTACCGTCATCTTGAAATGCAGATCATCCTCATCCTCGCCGCTTCCCAATGCATTATCGTCGTCGTCTCCAATATTGTATTCTTCATCGTCACTTCCATGGCGGTATTTGGACTGGTACAAATTCCGATCAAACTCGTCGTCGTCACTCATCTCGTCCTCTGGATAGTCGTTGGCGTAGTAATCCTCTGCATTTTCGTCTTCGTCATCCGTGTCGAACTCTCGGTCGCTGTTCTCGTCATTGTCCCACCAGTCTGCGTCCTCTTCGCTGATAACTAGAAGACCGACCGTGCCTGTTGGAGCGGGGGCGTCTGGTAGAACGGGTTCCCGGACGTAGTGATCGTATACGTATTCGCTGTCAATATCCATGGCGTCGCCATCTGCCATTGTGCCATCTTGGGCTGCGAGGGCTGCAGCCTTGTCCGGGTGCCGTTCTGCAAAGCGTTTCGCTGGCACTCTGGGCTTGTGTTTCGAAGGCGAGGGGAGGGGTATTTCGAGATTGTCTACCTTCTCCACCTCTTTTGACAGGGCTTCCAGGTTGCGCACATCGTTTTCTGAGGGCTCGGTGACGGGTGGTTTCCGGTGTATCGAGGGTTTGGCTGAGTGGTGTAGTGCGCTGCCGGCGCCTGGCCGCTTTCGTGGTCGCGGTGTAGAGTCTGGTGTAGGTTCTGGTATTGGCGCTTGCACTTGCCCGCCTGTTGAGATGTTTTCCTTGGTGACCTCTTGTTCCTCTACGAAATGCCGTTTTGCACCAATCCTGGATACGGGATCGAGGCGAAAACGGCGGGCGAGAGTCGGCGTGGGTGGTGTTGATTCCTGTTGGACATCGTCGCCCGGCTTGGTGAGACGCTTGTATGCAAAGTCGCTGCTTCTTTGTCGCTTGATGTCCTTTTCGGCGTGTTCGATCCTAAGAGAGTCGACAGGCGCATCGGTGCGCTTCCGCTTGATGGAGATTGTATTGGGCGGGAGTTGGTATGACATATTCGTGGCAACGAGAGAAGATGTAGTTCTAGAATACGTCTGGTCTATTCGACGCTCGCAGCTAAGTATTTGGTGGTGAAATGGTGCAGCGAATCGGAGGGGCAGCGCGGGGAGGTGACATCAAAGCATTCCACATGCCGCGCAGGCAGAGCCCCAGTCCACTAGCGCGATCTACACCCGCGTGTCACCCGTCGACTCTCGAGCGCTCCCACGCGATATGATCATGAGTCTTACTAGCGCCGACACGGCTTGAACATGTCCACCTGTATTCATTTATACATTGTTCGTCTTCCTTTTCAAGACGTCTCTTCTCCGTAGAAGTGTATCGGCATCTCCGCAACTCCGCAGTACATCCCCGAGAACACCTCGAACGCCTGGAACGCCTCGAACGCGACGACACTTCCCATCATGGATCGCATCCGGCAGATATTCGATCGCGAGAACACTTCGGCATCGTATGAGCCACTAGAAGGAGGATCTGAGCGGCCAGATGGCGAGCGTATCGAACGCGAGGATCAGGCATTCTCGTGGACGGACTATGCTGTCTTCACCCTGTTGGGTGTCTCCATGCTATGGGCTTGGTAGGTACCTCAGACACCACTGCAGCCATGATACTGACTGTACTAGGAACATGTTCTTAGCAGCAGCCCCGTACTTCCAGCGACGCTTCGAGTCCAGCGATAACCTCCTCCGCAACTTCCAGTCCTCCATCCTCTGTGTCTCCACCGTAGGCAACCTCGGCTCCATGATCGTCTTGACCAAGCTCCAGGCTCGTGCCAACTACCCCAAACGCATCGTCGCATCGCTCGCCCTGAACGCTGTCGTCTTCACCCTTCTCGCCATATCCACAAAGTTCTTCCTGAACATATCCGTCGGTGTCTACTTCGCTTTCCTCATGGTCATGGTGTTAAGCGCCAGCCTTGCCACAGGCCTGTGCCAGAACGGCGTCTTTGCATATGTATCGGGCTTTGGAAGAGAGGAATATACCCAAGGAATCATGTCTGGTCAAGGCATTGCCGGTGTCTTGCCTTCCATCACCCAGATCATATCGGTTCTGTCTGTGCCTAAGAAGCAGCATACCGACGGAGCGCCGCAAGAGTCTAGCACCTCTGCTTTCATCTACTTCTTGACCGCCACGGCTGTCTCCGCTGCAACATTGGTAGCCTTCTTTTACCTCCTCTCCAGGGCTAGCTCGAAGCAGCGCATGTCGCTAGCATCGTACGACCAAGGACCCGAATACGGTCCAACTCACAACGAGCGCAAGAGTGTGCCACTGACAAGGATGCTGAAGAAGCTCTTCTGGCTCGCCGGCGCCGTCTTTATCACCTTCGCAATTACCATGTTCTTCCCTGTCTTCACGCCACAAGTACTAAGCGTACGCGATCCAGCAACGGCTCCTCGCCTTTTCCAACCAGCAACTTTCATCCCTCTAGGCTTCTTTTTCTGGAACCTTGGTGACCTCATGGGTCGAGTGGGACCCGCTCTACCTGCCCTTCGTCTTACGCATCGTCCACGCCTCTTGTTCTTTCTGTCCATCGCGCGTGTACTCTTTATACCCTTGTACTTCCTCTGCAACATTGGTGGGAAAGGCGCCGCCGTCAACTCCGATTTCTTCTATCTCTTCATTGTACAGCTGCTCTTCGGCATAACAAATGGCTACTTGGGTAGCAGTTGCATGATGGGTTTCGCCGGGCGGGTCGAACCAGAAGAACTTGAGGCAGCAGGAAGCTTCATGTCGCTATCTTTAGTTGGCGGCCTTACTACGGGAAGCTTCCTCAGTTTCTTCGCAGCACAGTCCTCGTGATCTGGGTGCTTCTGATAGCATGATCTTTCCACGCGACTAGCATCAGCGGTCTCGTTAGTAGCCAGGGATGTGTATAAAAGAATTCATGATCAATACAGAATCCCTCTATCCATCGCCCCCAAGACAATGGCTACAGAAATTATCTACATAGTTCTCAGATTCCAGTTCCACCTCCGTACTGCTCAGCAGACTAGGGAGGGTGGGAAACGTACGAGACCCCGATTCAGCTGGGCGGAGAAGATCCGGGATAACCAGGATTTCCCCCAGCCTGAAGACCCAGACAACACATACGATGAAGTGGATGTGAAAGCTTCAGACGGTGGACGGTGGAAGACGAAGTTAATCCATAGCAAATCTTGCGAGGAAGACGTGCGAATCTCTGGTCATAACTCCATTGAGGAGGTCGCTCAGCAGGACCTGGTCGATGAAGCGAAGAAGCATATAGACGGGTTCAGGGCAACTGGTATCAAAGTGATAGGAGCTCCAAAGTCACTTTGGGAAGTTTCGAAGCTAAATGATCACATGATGGATAGCGCTTTTTACGTTGTTCATCAGCCGACAACGCTTGATGATGGGACTACGAGTGTCATGACTAGGTACTGGTGGCAAGTTTTTGCTGTTGATTTTGGGAACTAGGATAAACTAGGGACATATATGGATCAAACCTAGGTGGTCGCGGGTAGTAGCAAAAATTGAGGCATGCTTTCACACAACCGTGCTAGTTTGTTAGCAAAAAGGGTCTCTCTACACAAAGCTTGTCCATCGCGAGGCCTAAGTTATATTACGAGTACATTCATCTCCTATTCCCAGCCTTCTTGTAAGAAGTTGCACAATACCCAAGATGTCTGTCAACTCCGTCTACCTGGTCATCCATTCCCACTCACGTTCCGAAGACAAACCCTCATTCCGCGTCGCCTCCGCCGAACTACCCAAGATTCCTTCTCAGTGGACCGGCCACGATCGCATCCAATATGCATACACTAGTATTGGCGTCACCATGTCCCGTACCACGCTCGCAGAAAAATGGTACATCGAACTAGAATACCCCAATAATTCGGAGCAATATCTCGAGATTGTTGCGTGGTTCAATGATTTAGAAGCGGCGGACAAGAAGCTTGCTGATTGTGTGTTGCAAGGCTGTAATCCCAACGCAGACACGGACGAGGAAGATAAGACGGGGAGGAAGAAGGTGAACGCGACATGGACAGATTCCTTGGACGGCAACACAGCGGCATTCTACCGCATCGATTCAAGGCAGGAAAACCTCGACGGGACATTCTCACAAGCCATGCGATCTCACTGGTGGGAAGTAATACGCGTCGATCTCGAACAGCCAGACGTGTACAGCGCGAAATGGAATGAGAAAGACCGGTCATCCTACCTGGAGACTTCGGAAAGGATCAACTCGCTTCTGACTTTGAAAAGGGCTCAGGGGCTGAACGAGCAGGAGTTGGAGGAGTTGGACAGGCTACAGAAAGGATTGGGTTGGGTGGGTGTCAAGAGGGTTAAGTCGCACGATTATATTGGTGGGTATGTCAAGCGGAGCGAGGAGGACAGCGATGGAGTTAAGGAGTATCTCAAAAACGAGAACGTGCAATACAGTAGTGAGGATGAGGAGGATCTGAGGGTGAGGAAGATGGAACCAGGCTACTGGAAGCTGGACGTGGAGGATCGTGAGGTCATGGGGGACAATGTATGGGGCGACAAGTTGTAGTCGCACGAACGCTGCGAGGATCTGTCCGTTTTTGTTGCATTTCAGTCTTTTTGGAATATTCATACATAGGCATGCTCTTTACAAAGCACCCAGTTCCTTCAACTTGCTAATCATGCCATCCACATCGTCAACCTTGACACCACCCTTCCGTGGTGGTGGCTCGGTGACCTTTACTGTCTTCAATCTGATCTCCGTGTCTAGCCCATAGTCGCTCAGACTCTTCTTGTCCAGCTTCTTCTTCTTCGCCTTCATGATGTTGGGTAAACTAGCGTATCGGGGTTCGTTGAGGCGCAGATCCGTGGTGATGACCATGGGAAGTTTGGCTTTGATTGTTTGCACACCACCGTCGACTTCTTGGACTACTTCGACGGTTTGATCGTTGATTGTGACTTTGGAGGCTTGTGTTGCTTGCGGCCAGTTGAGGAGCCCTGCGAGCATTTGTCCTGTTTGGCCGGCGTCGTCGTCGATGGCTTGTTTGCCTAGGATTACAAGATTGCTCTTTTGTTCGTCTACTACTTTCCGTAGAAGCTTCGCGACGCCCAGTGGTTCTAGAGCGTCCTTCTCTTCTACGACTACGTGTATGCCTCGGTCTGCGCCCATGGCCATGGCTGTGCGGAGGATGTCTTGGGATTTGGGGACGCCGGCGGAGAAGGCGACGATCTCTTCTACGTTGGGGGCATTCGCGTGGTGGCCCTTCTTTTCGCGCATGCGGACGGCTTCTTCGATGGAGAGTTCGTCGAAGGGATTCATCGAGTGCTTGACGTTTGCGGTTTCTACGGCGGTTTGGGCGCGGTTCACGCGGGGTTTGACCTGATCGTGGTGTCAGTGCCATTCGCTGTTGAGACAGGCGTCTTGAGTGCCATCATCCTCGGAGCCATTCTTTCAAGCCTCCAAGTCGAACATGCATGCGCCATGTTCATGTATTAGTGTAATGGACGTACCGCATAGTCAATGACCCGCTTGACGGGCACTAATATCCTCAGTCCTGACATTGTGTGTATGTTTCCTCCTCAGCACCGGGCAGCGTAATGTTTCGGGGGTATCACCGGTAATGATGTGAGGAACCAGGGTGGGGGATAGCATCGGAGCTGCTTCTTACGTTCGCGGTGCTTAGCCGAGGCTTTTTCCGATGTCCGCGGCGGCCTTGGCGGGGCGATATCGTCTGATCAGGAAGCGCCACTCCTGCGCACTTGAACTGTGTAATTTAATACATGATTTTTCAGTATACTTCGCAGAGCTGGTGGAACTTACTTTCGTGGACATCTCCCATGTCTTCATATTTGCGGAAGAATAAGCCCATCAGACATGCTGGCAGCTTACTTCCCTGCTTGATTGTTCACGATGCCGGATCATGTGTGGCTTGCCCCTTCGTTTGATGAGCTGAGGATTGCTCAGCGCATCTTTATGTTATTATAAAAAGACTCCGTCTACTGCTCTCGAATTCTTCAGTTCCAGACCCATCCTTTTCGTTCACAGTCAAAACCACATTGGCAAGGGCTTCGCACATCATGCTCAATATTCTTGTTATCACACTAGCAGGAGATCTATCCACGCCTTTCGGTATATCAGATAAGATTGCGCCTCGCCTGATACAACGAGCAGCGGTCCACGAGTCGCGAACGGTAGAAGACGCTATCGAATGCCTCAGTACAGACTGGCCAAATGCCATTATAGTCCAGAGCAATCTCATCCTGGATAACGAAGAACCGAGCACCACGCTACGTAATCGTTTGATCGAACGAACGAGAAACGGCTGTACCACAATATTCACAGGATACTTCCATTGGCCAATGTACAGAGTGGAAGCCTTCGAGGCTCTCTTCAAGGACCGTTTCGGGCTTCAGTGGGAGTTAGTAACAAGTGAGAACGTAATTACTGATCTTGTACAAAACGATCCTGGTTTGCTGCGTACCACGGTCCTCTCCCCAATAATGCAGAATCAAGACCTCTTGCTCCGAGGCGTATCTAGAGAACAGGCCGTATACCGTGCTCGACAACAACCGGAACGTCTCGCTTCAGTGGCCTTTGCAGCAGTAGGCTCAGGAAGGGTGGGTTTTATAGGATGTGGAGGTGACGAAGTGGACAGACTGGTCTTGGCTATGTGTGGATTAGACCGTCCCACAGATGCTCCTGGGAACTCTTTGAAGAGTCACCACGGAGACCATTGACTTTACAGGTGTACTCACCATCCTTTTACGTCGGTTTCTGGATTCGAATGAAGATACATAGATTACATATTCAAGAGTTACCCAAACCCTCGGCAAACTGTTGACAGCTGGCGCAAAACCCGAAGGTTCTAGCAGCGTTATACTCCCAACACTGCTGCGCATAGTCTGGTGTGGTCGTCCCACAGCCATCACCTAACAGAACACAGTCGTACCCATTGCTAAATGCATCAGTCAGGGTTCCACCCACGCACTGGTCGGTATTCACTCCTGTGAAGAACAACGTCCTAATACCCTCTTTATCCAGAAACTCTTTGAGGGGTGTCGTAGCACCCCACATCCCGCTCATCCTGTTCTTATGGATCCAGACGTCAGGCCTACTCTCCAACTTGCTGCCTTCGACATACATGGCATCAAGTGGAGGGTAGAGCGCTGCATTCCAAGAATCGCGCATGAGTAGTTTACCCCCCTCTACGGTTTTCCCGTCTGGAAACTTGAGCATCCCGCAGTCAGCACCGATACCACGGTAGAAAGACTGGTTTTCTTTGCCATGTCGATCCATGCTCACGCTTCCTTCCTGGTGTCCAAAAGCGTCGTCGGATTTAAAATCGGCATCTTCCGGAATGGAGAAGAAACCAAATGCGCGTTTCACAGCTGGCGGCATCTCTTTGGCTTCTTCCTTCGTAAGCCCCCAATTTACCCATACGATTCTGATTCCAGCCTTGCGTGCAGCTGGGATAGCGTACTTGACTAACTGTTCGCAGGCAATGTGACCAGGACCTTTTTGACCGCGGCCGAAAGCTTCGGAGAGAAAGAAGTTTTGCATGTCAATGATGACAAGGGCGGATTTCGAAGGATCGATTGTGATGGCATCAGCTCGTGTCTGGATGGTGTGTGTGGGCCCGGTAGTTGGTGACGAGTGCGTAGAGGGATGAGTGAGGTCAAAGCCATTCTTGGTAGAGTGCGACCAGAAGTTTGAAGGTGATCCTATCAAGGCTTTTCGATGACTGTTGAGAGGGATAATAGACGACATGATTGTGAGAACAGATGTTATGCTAGATTGAAGTGATCAAAGATCGATTTTTGATGGTAGATTGTGCTTAATGTCTTCATGAAGATGCAGGATGGTATGTGTTAAGTAGATAGATGATCATACTGGCGATGAATATAAGTCTTCAAGCAGTCATCGGATGCTGTGGCCACTATCAGAGTGCCAGATAAGGAAGGCCAGTAGCTCACCTGCCGAGGTGGGGTAGGCCGGGGTAGATCCGGAGATAGTCGTTTTGTCGAGGATATGACCAAGATGTCTTTCAACACACATATGTATGTCTAATGCGTAGTACGAGATCGATCTGGAGTGGAGATCGTTTGCGCAGAATCATCGAACAGTTGCGTAATTGTCTGATGGACACTTCAGATGAATGTAGCTTCTGAAACGATACCAGGCTGCGCGTATGAGCGCGGCGAACACGCATGATACACTGGAAAAGAATGGAGTATGCAGGACATGGTCTCCTACTGGTTGTATTGGCTGTTACCGGGTTCCCGCAAGCCGCAACCTCGCAACTTGCACAAGCTGTGGTGCCTCTTCTTTGTAAAGGGCCGCGCTGTCAGAGTCGACTATCAGACGCAAATAGTCCCTGTATTCTTCTTCATGACCAATAGACTTGTGATACTCCGCAAGTTGTAACATGGAAGGTTTGTGTCCAACGACAGACGCCACATGTAACCACTCTCGCGCAAGCTTCGCGGCGCTTCCGCGTCTCCAGGTCAGTAACCAGTTGAGCGCATGTCGTATGCTACCGTTTTCTAAAACAGACGAGTTCGATGCTGCCACTTCTTGATAGAAGCCAGTGAGGTCCAGTATGGCTTGTCTGTGACCGGATGCTGCTGCTTTGCTCGTATACCGCAACCACTTTTCGCTTGTTTTCGGCTCATAGGCTGCGAGTTCGTAGTATGAAAGCGGATCATCACCTTCGAGAGCGCCTTTCTGGAAATATGACTGGGCTTCTGCCTGTACTTTCGGATCTTTGTCTGCCTTGAGTAGATAACCGAGCGCATTCCAGGGTGCTATAAGAGGAAATTGCATCGCATGCGTTAATGGCCTTCCAGTTTGATCATTGAGAGTTGAAGGCTTGATGGCTTCTTGGTATGCTTTTATGGCCTCTTGCTTCTGTCCTGCTTGCTCAAGGAAGAGTCCTCTTAGAGTCAAAACTTCAACTACTAGAGTTGGAGTCTTTTCCAAGGTCTGCAAGTCAATCGTGTCGAGCAGCTGGCGGTATTGGGCGATATCTTTCTGTGGAAAGAGCCTTGCAATCTCTTGAGCGGGCTGGTTGCCCAAACTGCCAAGGTAGACGGCAGTCAGGATGTGTACGATCGCGAGAGGATCCCCAGCGTGCGCACATCCTTGCAGAAGCATACCAGCGACTTCTTTGTGCTGACTAGGAGGCAGTCGAGCTCTTATCTCTGGATTGCTGAGATCGGGTACTTTGAATGTGGCCATCGCAAGAGATGTAATATCAATTAATCGGGCGTTGTATTCTGCTCATGTCAGTGCCACTATAGAGGGGAGTATGGGCCGCGAACCTACTCTCGACTATCCGCAAAACGTTGTCGCTATGGGAAGTTGTTTTCGTTTTCGCAACGAAGTCATTGTAGATGCTCAGAGCCGTACGCGGCTCGATATTGAGTACGCTTTGTTGCTTGCATATGGTGTAGAAGCCCAGTCGAGCGCGAGTATCAACTTCAACACGTGCTTTTGGATCCAATTTTCGGTTGATGGAATAATTCTGGGTTCGCATGCCTGTTGCAAGCCAATGCGAGGCCATCGGATATCTCGTAGCATTGTAGCGGATGGCTAGAGTTGTTTGACGCGATCGGCACGACAAACATGGCTCTAGACGCGCGACTGCGCTTGCTGAGCGTAATACTGCGCGAGGAGTCGACATAGTTACGAGATGACTGCTCGACAGTTGGTGAACGGCGATGCGGTAATCCTTGGAATTCACCAGGCCCGCTAGTCTCGGGGGTCCGCAATGGCCGCGAAATCTTGGCACGCCAGAATCTTTTCCACATCGCGCGATCCACCAACGCAGCAGCGACAAGAACAGCCGCGGTTCGTACACGACGCGTATCAACCCACCGTAACGAAGACGCAATGGTCACTACACGAGGCGGAACAGAGACGCCAGGCGCACCGACACCGACGCCGCGCAGCTCGACAAGGAAAGCCGCAGGAAAGCGAGAACTCGAGTCGCTAGAGACGCCGACACAAACCAAAAGGCAGAGGAAGTCTGCGCCCACGTCGTCCTCCAAGAAGAGATCTGCCAAGCAGACCACCGATTCGGATGCGCCTTCACAAGGACTTTCGCAAGAGTCCGTAGAGGATGTCTCAGACACAATCGCTGTCGCCGACGCGCCTGCGACCGAAGACCCTCAGACGCCGACACAGGATGAATTTCTGCCACTCCGACGCCGATCGAGCCCCCACGTTGTAGTCAGCAGGAAGTCGCCGGATGATTCGACGGCCACGGACAGCTTCGGTGAAGGCAGGGAAGAGGCGCCAGCAACTTCACAAAATCCGTCCTTTTACACACCAGCGCAGCAGCCTGGTTCAGGTTCAGGATCAGTATACGCGACGCCCGCCACGACATTCAAGCAACCTGAGGGATCACCTACACCCAAGGCTAAGACGGGAGATGGCCAGACGCTAGCACCAGGCTCAGCGAAGAGAGGCAGAGGCCGCCCGAAGAAGGTTGTAGAGACGCCGTCCAAGTTCCCTGACGAGATTCCGACGTCCTCGTACGAGAGCAGCACAGCTCCTATACCCTCGCAAGGCGACGCGCCTCCTTCAGCACAAGCTGAAAAGACGCATAGACGCTTTGGTAGCGAGGAGCCTGCCGAGTCGCAAGATTCGCCCGTTGCGATCAAGCAAGGCCACAAGCGATATGAAGCTTCTCAGCCCATCGAGTCACTACCCCCAACGCAAACAAGCCAAGTCGAACAGGACGAAGCAAGCGATTCGGACGACGAGGCCCCCGAGGTAGTCACCACAGCTGCTGCAAGTTCGAAAGCACGAGCTACGCAAGCCGAAGCCGACCGCGCGCAGAAAGCTCAACAAGCAAAGGAACAGGCCAAGCGACAAGCGCGCGAAGAACTCGTTGCCGCCCAACAAGCTGCAAAGCGCGAGCGTGAGGAGAAGATGGCAAAGAAATTGGCAAAGAAAGCTGCCAAGGAAGCAAAGGCTGCCGCCGGTCCCCTCGACAAAGAGCCAGAAGTTGCGTCGCACATGGACATTGACGTATCCAACGGTCTCCTACCCGCTTCCCTCCTCGAGACCATCGACGACCAGCGCCCTCCCACACCACCGCCCCAGCGGCGCGGAAAGACAGAGGCGGAACTTAGGAAGGAGAAGCTCAACCACCACATAAAGTTCCTCGAGAGCGTTGACAAGCCAGCGAAGGATGTGAAGAAGGGCAAGCTCAGCGTAGCGGTATTGGCACAGCAGAACCGGGTGCTGCCGCCCAAAGTCAACAGGAATACGAAGAACGTACGTGAACACTGGTTGAAGGGGCGTGAAATGGACAAGAAGGGAGGAAAACCCGGCGTTAGATTCGGGAAAAAGATGGAGAGGAGGCCGCATGGTAACAGGGGTTTCTTGAGAAACGGAGAGTAGATAATAGCACAGGGCCAGTCGAACTTGTGCAGTATGATTCGAATGATATCCATTGTCATCTTGATATTTATGCTTTTGATGATAGGTTTTGCCGCCCATCGTGTTGTCCACTTTCATACCTGCTATGCCACCTACCGCCGTCCAGGCCTCTTCGGCTTCGCAAATCCCTTGCTCTCCTCCTTCTTCCCCACCTTAAACTCATCCAGGATAACCTGCTCAGTAATCTCATCCGGATCCGTCGCCTCAATCTTCTTGTCCACCTTGAGCCCACCATCGTTCTGCGCCAGACTGACCACATTGCCCCTACTCGCTGCATACAGCATCCTCTCCCTAATCTTCGCTCCGCTCGGACACGTCGAGATGAACACGATACTCGCAGCAGCGTCATCATGACGATAGAACGAGTACCGCGGCTCCTTGGCATCGATAGCCCGTGAGAGAGTCGAAGGCGTCGCTGACGAAGAAGACACAAGCTGAAGCGTCTCGGACGCGCCGTCCATGCGCAGTTGCACGAGGTTATCCGTTCCACCCTGTCCCAACTTCTTCAACGCCCCGCCAATCTCATCATCAGCCCGAATAGCGATTCTGCCTCCTTGGGCCAGACCCTGGCCGCGTGTGCCTCTGCTCTCCAGGGCCTCGGCAGCCTTGATGTCCTGCAGCGACTGTTCCTCCGCTGTCAGCGGATTATCAGACGCTGTATGCGCAATGTGTTTCTCCCAGCCCTCCGGCGTGAGCTCTGATGCTTCGGTCGTGAAGACACTCTCGCTGAAATGCTCTCCGCCTAGTTCACGCACGAGAGTGAGGCGCGTGGATGCGAAGAGCATTTTCTGGCGTACTGGCGCGGCATTGGGTACGTATGTTACGGCTACGAGAGATTTGTCGGGCGAGGAGAGCGAGTCGGCGCGGCGGAGGAGAATGTAGAGTGCGGCATTGGGCTGGATGCGGGACTGGAGATTGGAGAGGTCGGCGAGGAAGGTCGATGCTGACGAGGATATGGTGTCGCTGGGGATGATGGTTTCGTTTTGGATTGTGGCTAAGATTCCACGTTGCGAGCTTGAGGTTATGAGGCTGCCGACGGCGGATTTGAGCTCCTGGGAAGCTATGGGGGTTGTTAGTGGGGTGCGAGGTTGGAACGCGCCGGAAGATCGTTACCGGAGATACCAGACTGCATCTTGGCAAGGTTCTACTGCAGTAACTTCTGTGGTTGTCGGAACACTCAAAGAGAAGGCTGCGATGTTGTTGAATGCACTGATTTCAACGTGTACACTGACGTCGAACCAGCGGTGATGCTGTACTATAGTGGGGCAGGTGGGCTGGACGGCCGATGCACCTTGGCAGCCCTGCTTCTATCATGCAGTCTGGTTCCTGAGGTGGCGTCTAGAATGCATATATTGTGGTATGTCACATAAATTACGTGCTGTAATATGCTTGGAAAATAGCCTATGCTCATCGACAGGCGCTCTCCAACAGACTGGAGAACGCAATGATAGCTCACTCCTCGTATGCCCCACCAGGGAGCATCTCTCTTCCTTTCTCCAACACACCCTTCAGATATTCGTACACGGTAAATGTGACAGCTTGGCCGGGGGCTACCCGCATCACACGCGGCGTGATACCTTTGTAGAAACTGCGGATACCTTCCTGTTTCCACATGTCGCTGTGAATTGTCAGCTAACACTCGAAAGTTGGATGCGCCCGAAGACTTACTTTCCGATATTTACTATCCTCTGGATAGCAGTTTGACCTGCCTCCGCAGGCGTCTTCTGCAACCTCGTCTTGATGGTGTCAATCGGCGCGTTCGTAAACGGACCAACAGCACCACTGATCAGACCAATCAAACTAGTCTCGTAGCCCGGCAAATCTGTTGTGCCATGGTACTTCTGTAACTGTGCCCTGAGTTCCGAATATGCAGTGAAGTTTGCCGCTTGGTTTGTTCCCTGGCGCAAGGCTGTGAGCGACACACCACGCCATAATGCGCCTGCACCTTCTTCCTTGATGACAGTATACATGGCATGCGCGGCGTTTCGGTACTTGGGTATATCGAGCGGATCGGCCATCGAGTGGTGCTGCGCTTGAAGACGGATCTTGACGACCTCCATAGGTGTAACGACGAGAACGGCCTCCGTGACACCAGCGGCAAGACCAGCTGTAAAGTGTTAGTATTCGGTCATTCTTGAGTAGACTCTGTTCCGAAAAGATGCGCCTTGCGATTCCGCGAGCTTCAAACTTACCCATAAACGTAGACTTTGACGCGACATTGCCCTCTTTGTCCGCTAACATCTGCTTATACCACTCATAACTCGTGAAGCGTATGGCCATCTTCGGGACGATGCCTGTGAGAACGGCGCCTAATCCCTTATATAGGCCTAATGCTGTCTCCCTCTTCACGATTTCAGTTCCGGTCGTGATAAATCCGCGCTTCTTTGCCTGCAATGTATACCAATCAGTGACATTCTGGATAGTGTATGCCGACCGCTTCGAAATTATAATTTGGGACGTACTCCTGGAGCGCGAGCTCGTCTTGACAGTTGCATGCGGACTTTGATCGTATCTGATATCCAATTAGACTTAACGCGCAGATAGTGTAGGCTTGGGGAGTTGTAACTCACCGAGAGGATGACACGCGAGTGCCTCCATCATTCCAGCTCCACCACCGGCTTCATGTCGCGTCAGTATCCTGCCAGTGCGGTCGCATACCGTCCAAGTTCAAAACTTGAGGCTTACCGATCAAGTTTGTGGCCGCCGACGCGGGCTTCTTGCCGCCAGGCCCTTGTACTGATTTCGCAGACATGTTGTGTAGAGTTGGAGCGCAAGGGTTCAGGAAGGTGTTTGCTGCGAGGATCTGGGACCAAAGGCCGTCCAAGGCACGAGCACGTGGGGTTACACGAGATTGTGACACTGAAGGAGCGATCCTGAGCTGTAGCCCAACTTTCTGAACGAGAGCTGTAATGCGCTTTGGAAACCTCGGCTTCTAGAGATGACGACAGAGGGGGAGCAAGCAAGCTGATCAATAGCAACAGCCATGCAACGGGTATCAAGGAGGAGACTCGAAATGAGGTTTAGGAAAGCGAGGAAAGGCACGAGCGCAAGGAAACGCATTCAGTCATATTCCATACATTGCTGATCAGAAGCCTGCCTTGACTACCCGCGGGTGTGAGGACAAACACCCATTTGCTCCGCCAGCCTCGGCCCTTGCGTGAGCCCAGACCGCGTGTCTTAGTGTCGACTGGCACGCGTTTGTCTGGCAGCTGGCAAACAATGGGGTACCTTGGCAAACCCCGGATTTCGCCTTGGGTGGGCGAGCGGAAGTTAAGATGCGCTGATGTCGTTCGGCCGGCGATCGGCTCGAGGAATTACGTTGCCGAGCCACAGTTGCCCAGCTGCCCAAGCCATTGGCCGTTCATCATGGCCTGCTTGGGATGATAGCACATGCAATCCTGGTGTTATGCCTGAATTCGAGTCTCGCGTGTTTCCGGGTTCGCGCTTTCACAAGCTCGTGTAGGCGAGCGTCTGATGATGGATGAGGGGTGGAATGATCGACATGTGAAAGTGTGGAAGATGACGTTGGAGGGGCTGTCGGAAACTCTCCGCTGCAGAGCCCATCCCGAAAGCGGCCGACGTGCACGTGCGCGAAGATGCCTCGGAAGATGCCTAGGCAAACTTGACTGTGCTACAATGTGTTCCTCGGGATGTATTGAAGGAGAGATAAAAATGGGTATATTCTTACTACATCAAACGCTTCCCTCGGCAAACCTACGATCAGATGAATCTGACCTCATTGAACAGACTTGACCTGACCTGCATCAACGCAACCAGCTCCAACACAAAGTTCTGCAGTATGACCACGTTTGTAATGATGTGTAGCAAGCTCGCCTCTCGAATATCATCGTCTTCTGCATCCTCAGCACCTGTCGCCGCGTCATCAGAAGGTTCCTTCGGTGGTGGTTGGAACTTCGATAGCATGACCTCTACCTCCTTTGATCCAGCCGGCCGGCGGAAGCGAATACGCCTCTTGCCGAACTGACTCATCCTGATCTGTGATATGCTAGCGTCGACGTCGGACATCAAAGAAGGCTGCTGTACGGCGTATGTTCCTGACATAGGGGACGATGCTCGGGCAGGTGAACCAACGAGTGTCTGGCCTCCATATCTTGATGGTGCGGGTGATGTAGTGGGGGTGTTCCTTGCTTCAGAAAGGGTTTCCTTCCTGCCTCTCGGAGATTGCGCTCTGGAGGGCGTCGTCGGTTGGTTACGTACATGCTGTGGTATTTGCGGCGTCCAAGATCCAGCTGGAGGTTCTGAGGGAGGTCGCGCGGGCTTTGACTGAGGCGTCGACATTTTTGACTCCTCTACGAGATCCTGATGGAAGCGGAAGGCATGCTTGCGGTTCGCAACGTGCTCATCCCAGTCCTTGATATCGCTGCGCAGGGCATCGACTTGCGCCTGGAGACGTTGCAGGCATGCAAAAAGTTGAGGAGTAGCAGAGGATTCCCATTTCGGAAACCTTTCTGCCAGGAACATGGCGCGCAAGTTGTCATTCGTGAACGACTCGACTTCAGGGTTGTCGCTTTCGAAGTGATAGTCGGCAGGATCCACGGATAACCATCCTTCCAGACGCAGTTGTGAGCAGGTGCCGAGCGTAATCAATGCCTCAGTAAGCGCCAGGTTTGTCTCGACATCGTTTGTGAGGAACCTCAGAAGTAGATCCATGAGAGATTGGAAGAGCGGGTCTTCTGGAAGTAACTGATGTGGATCTACCTCCCTAGCTGAAGCTTCAGTCGAGTCGAAGTATCCTGGACTCTTCGAAGACGTCGCGGGTAAAGCGATGGTCTTCAAAGAGCAGGGATGTGACTCCAACAAACTCAGAGTATCTTTTAGATAGTTCTCGTACGCTTCATCAACACCTTCCAAGCCGGCGAGATCGATGGCGAGGTTGAGGTACAGCTCAAGCTCCTTGTTCAGGGATCCAACAGTTCTATTGTGTTCTTTATGATGCAAGTTCATCACCTTGACGAGAGATCCGAGAGCGTATCCATGGCTTTTGCTCAATATCACAGTCGTCAGCTTCAATGATGCAATGACCGTCTGTGGATTGCGCGATGCGGTACTTCCCAAGACCAAGTCGACCAGATTAAACAAGGATGGGTTCAATTTGTCTTCATCCTTATCCGATGCAGTAAGCAGCATAAGTGACTGACGGCGCTTGACAGCTGCGGGAGACCGTGGTGTCGCGGTAGACGCGTAGTCCAGGAGTGCGAGTAGATACTGAAGCATCATGTGCACGAGCTCGGGGTGGTCAAGCGCATCTAGTATATGGCGAAGGTACGTAAGTACTGCGACGGATGAACCGCCATCGGCGTCGGACGACTCAAGTAGTGAAGGGTATCTGCACGGAGTCAGCTATGATACTGAAGACATATGAGAGTAACACACAATAGCTGCTGGAGGAACAAAGCTTGAAAGTGGTCAATCAATGTTACTCTAACATCCAGAGATCTGCAATGCTCGAGCACATCTTGCCAGAAGGCAAGGTAAGACAAGAAGGTGAGAAGATGGCTCTGGAAGTCGGGTGTGAAGAAGTTCTCTGCTTGTGGATTGGGCTGCATCTCGGTATAGTCGGAGAGTAGTAAGACAGGAGGCAGGTCGTGCGCGGGGTGGAGTATCGACAGCTTTCTGGACAATGTTAGCTTCATTGTCTCGGGTTCGGTGCGCTTCATACCTGCTCATCTGGCTGTATAGTGCTCCCAAGCCGGTCGCCATGAGCGTAGGCAGATCACTGTTGACAATCCACTGCTCCAGATCCATGGACCTGGACGCAGACTCGAATATGTACAGCAATCCGGTGCGCGCAAAATCCCCGATACGGCCTTCGTGGTGGACATGGTCGATGAGCTGATAGCACAACGGGAAGTCCTCTTTCTGTGTGACGCCGGCGAAATCGGTTTTGGGATTCAACACTCGTCCCTCGCTGTTTGCGGATGTGGTCGTGAACCAGACATGCAGAATCTCTGGCTGTAGCCTAATCTTGGCTGCGATGCCGAAGAGCAGCTCCACGATGTCGGCCTCGATGTCCTCTCCTATGCCCATGCTGCCAGACCCGACTGTGCGGTCGATGAAGTTCATAAGCGACGCGGCGAAGACGTCGTTCTCGAGGAAGTCCTCTTCCTCGCTGTCGATGAGGGCATTGTAGAAGGCCACGGCGTCCCTAACGGTACCCTCATCGTGTGCCGTCGCCGCGATCTTGGAGACGGCCGTGTATATCTGCTGGGCGGCGGCGAACTGGAGGCACATGTGCGGCGCGGGGGATCGTGACTCGTCGCTGAGGATGGCTGTGAGGGCCTGGAAGCCGCGCCGGATGTTGCCCAGGGCTTCGCGGTCGTGGGCGAGGTTGGTCGACTTCTGCCATGTTTGCTGCCATGTGTCAGACTCGCGGCATTTCGAGTTACTCAGCCAGGCGTACCAGTATCTGATTGTAGCGCTGGCGGAAGCGTGCCAGCCGCTGTTGCGGGTTGTTCGGGGCGGCCTGCTTCTTCTTCTGGGACGAGCCGCCGAGTAGCCTCACCCACTTGCTGTCGTCAGTGCGCGAACCATAGCTGCAGCAGGGCGAAGACGTACGAAATCCATTTGATGTCCTACTCACCCCGCATTTGCGCCGTGTACGTGGGGTCCAAGGGTGGAAAGGAGTGATGTCGACGCGGAGCGCGCCGTCGTGGAGCGAGCTCGAAACCAATCGCGTTGCATCCTTCTCCGCACGCAGTCACCATTCACAACACACAACCTTGGAAAGAGTCTTGGGAAAGCACATTTGACACCAAGTATTATTAACATTACCAAGATTCTACAACTGCAAAGAACACACGGAAACATCGCAAGCTATGAAAATAGGAAAATTCGCTATGCACACAGTCAAACTCAGATCGCAGCCTCCTCCTTCGTCCACTTGACCTCCTTCTTGACCTTGTCCCCATTCAGCGTCGGCAGCCCACTCATACCCAACATGTAATCCCTCCCCTTCAGAATCCACACGAAGAATGAAGGTACCTTCCATCCAAATACGGCACCAACGCCGCCTCCGCTACCGATGGGGACAACCATAGACTCCGTCGTGTTAGCCGTGTACACTCTGTCCTTGCCCTTGGGTTTCGCCTCTGGAAGCATGGGGTTGTAAGAGAACAGGTCGCGCTTGATGTTGGTGACTAGGGTAGGTAGAGCCAGGTTAATATCCCAGTAGTTGTTGCGCGAATATGATGCGATGTCGCCGAAGCCGTAGACGCGGGGGCCTGCGATGTCGACGCGAAGGGTGGAATCGTTCGTTACGAGGTAGCCCTTCTCATTGAGCAATTGATCTGGCAGCCACGACGAGTTTGGTTGAACGCCGTAAGCGGGAACGTAGAGGTCTGCCTCAAGCTTGTCACCGTCCTTGAGGGTCAGCGTCGTGCGACCATCTTTTGTCTGCGTTGAATCGACCACTCGCGTGTTGTAGACGATCTCCACCCCGAGCGCTTTGAGTTTCTGCTCTGCAACTTTGGCGATTGCAGGCCGGAGACCGGGGAGAAGCTGCTTGTCCGATGTGATCAGGGTAACGTCAACTTTTGGCTGCACCTTGCTGAACCATCCTGGCTTGCCGTTGCGATGCTCAGCAACTTCGCCCGCAAATTCTACGCCTGTCGCGCCTCCACCAACGATAACAATCTTCTTCGCCGATGCGATTTGCTCATTTGCCGAGCTAATCGCGTTCAGGGTACTTTGAGCATCGGCGCTCATCGAGAAAGCTTGGAAATAAGTCTTGCTTCCAGTTGCCACGACGAGTGCATGATACGTCAATGATTCGTCTTCTTGTCCCTTGTTGCTGCAAAATAGGAGGCGCCGCGATGATGGCTCTAGACCCGTAGCAGAGGCTTCGATGAAAGTAAAGTCGTCTTTGGAGTATTGCTTGAAGCCCTCATGCAGATCGAAGAGGACCTTGTCGGTCGACATGCGCTCGGTAGAAGCTGCCACTCGTGGAGAGGCAACCCTGAAGTACCACTGTGAAGATGGCGAGATGTTGTAGACATGATACTTGGCGTCATTCTTTGCCTTGAGAGCTGGTAGAATGTGCTTCAGGATGTAATGGGTTGCCTGTATGCCCGCGCCCGATGCGCCAACAATGACAATGTTGCGTTGTTCTGACATCGTGTAATTGGTCGTGCAGGAAGCCAGAAAGTAACCTAGAAGTAAGGATAAAAGATGATGTGTGATATGTTCAATATGTTTGGAAATGGGATGTTGAGATGCAATGTGTTGAATGATCTGAAAGCCGAAGATGTCTTGCTCTACATATACTCACCTCTTCAACCGCGTATGCACCGAGCGCCTGTCATCACCTGAACGACGGACCAATTTTTCGGGAAACTTGTAATCAAGCACTGAATCCCAGTCACATCGATGTAAGATCCTACGGACACTTCCTCGCTGTGTCGGCCGTTAACGCGTCGCGATAGCACACAGGCGAGGTTTGTAATGAGGGAAGGGCAGCCGCCGGTCGGATGCCCACAGATCCGTGAGACCGACAGTTCGTAAGCACATCGCCAAGACATCGGCAGCTCTCATTGGCTCTGATGCTCAAGGACGCTGCATTTCCGCTTGCTGATCCAAGGATTCATCAATCATGACTGTCTTTTCCATCCACAAGCTTTATTTGTTTCGCGTTTATGGAACTTAGTCACATTGAATGAAGAATGCGATATCACACCTGGTCCCTAATGGACCATGAACACCTCCAGATCCCAGCCACAAGGCACACAAGAGGTTTCTCGATCAGAGCATGCGCTCAAATCAAGTCTGCGAAATCGTTTTCATCCTCCCAATCATCACTCCCCGACTCGCTGATTTCGTCATCCGATCCTTCCACCAGCCCATTTCCTCCATGCGCGTCGTTCATGTGCTGGTACACTGCCTCCATTTCATAGAAGACCTTGAGACACACCCAGCATATGTGTCCATGACAACCGTTGCACTCGACGTAGTTGCATCCGTCGACTTTCTCGATAAGTGTGGCGCATTTTAGGCATTCTTTTGTACCAGCGGCCGCTTTGTACTCGTCCAGAAGCTGCTCGTTAAGCTCATTCTTGAGGACACGCGATTCATACTGGGCGCAAGTCCAGCCGACATGGGGCTCTGCATGGCATAGAGTGCATGTCTGGGTCAGACATGTACGGCATGTGAAGATCCCATGAGATCCGCCGCGCCGATACACTGCTTTGCAGTCAGGCGCTCGACAGTTGCGATAGATAGCTGGAGAGGATCGGATATAGTAATTTAACGATGCCTTGAGCAACGCATCGATCATTGTGCCGGTAGCGTGTTTATGTAGGTCTGCGATGGCTATTGGTTGTTTGCAGTCTTCGTGCCAACATACTAGCGGAAAGTGATCGTTGCTTAGGTCGGATGAAGCCACCTGCAGTTGAAGATCGAAGCATTCCTTGCAGGCATAGTGGCCGCAGTTGGAGAGCTTAACGTCGTTTGTCGCATCGCCACAGAGGGGACATGTGTGGTGTGGTAGTGGTAAATTTAGCTCAGATATAACCAGCCAGGCGGTCTGCTGAGTGCAATGAAGGACCAGTGCTTTCTTTAGCACATCAAGGCTGACTTTTGACTCACCCAACTTGACCTGAGCACGGGCAACCTTGTCCGACGTAAGAAGCTCTTGGAAGTCTTTCAAAGTGAGTTGGATAGTGGTCGTTTCTTCCAATGTGCTCTGGATGATGGCTTTCTCTGCAAGGGTGTGCTCAACAAGCCCCATTCGTGCATCATCCTGTTCAGGATCATGAACGCGCAGACGCTGTTGAAACTTATCACTTATGATTATCACACCGTTTTCTTGTGCTAGGTCTTGTAGCCACCCAGCTCCAGATGCAGTTGCGAAGAAGTCGTGCCAGATCTCGTATCGCGCAGCATCGCCATCTAGTCCCGTGGTCGCTATTCTTCCTGAAAGCTTGGCCTCCAGTATCCTCTTCATGTCGACAACCTCGTCTTGATTCTTTCCCGACAAGCGCAATGTGACCATGTCCTCTCGAGGCTTCCCCCAGACTGCGCTCGCTTCTGCGACTTGCAACATGCAGTTGGTGTCTTCAACATTAACCATGACAGCGTCGGAGAGCTCTTTGGGTGTAGTGAAGTACACAGTATACATCAAATGCGCGTCCAATTCTGCGTTGCCGCTGAGATGCTTCAAGGCTGCAAGCGCATGTTCTGGTAGGTAAAAGCCGGCGATATGGCTCGTGGGTAAGCGTCCACGCACGCTAGAGTGGAGTGTGTTGTTGATGTCCACTCTATAGTAGAACTTGAGCGAACCAGCAACCGATTCAAGATCGGCCTTCATGACTGACGACCCAAAGTCACTGCTTGGACGCCATGATATTAGTATCGTGTTCGCATGCGCCCTCATCGAAAGTTTGTTGGTAATTCGAATGCTAGGGCTCAGACTGAACCCCGATAAAACACAGCCCGCAATGAATTCCGCGTTCCCCCCCTGTATGTGCCTGTGGGTACTTGATGTTGTCATGTTTGAGTTGAGAATGTCCTTTACTGAGGATAACGGTGGTAATTGGGTCGCAGTCTCTCGCAGTTCCAACGTGACGATGTTATAGACGAGGAAGGGTTCTAGACATGTCGGGGCAAATTCGATCCAAACGGCTGGAGTCGGTGTTGAGTTCTGCAGTTGCCTGGTGGGTATGTTTGTTGTTATGAATGGCGTGCCATGGCAAACGTGACGTGCAAACACGCAATGAAGGGCCACGATAACAATGCGAGAATGAGTGGGTCGTGGGAGTACGTTCGATCCATCGTTGATCCGTAGAAGAGTATGGAATGAGGATCAGCCCATGATCATGAGTTGGTACCGAAGGCTGGGTGCAATCGGTCCACGCTAGCGACATGAGCAGGCGCGGTGGTGGCGGGCCACTTTCCTCCCTACATGGCCATTGCAACGGCATGAAAACAATGGCCCACTGCAACCGACGTGAAGAAGATACCACCAGTGTCTCACGTCTTAGGTAATCGTTGTTCGGTTTCTTTTGTGTGGTCAGGTGCTTTCGAACAACCAGTCATTAGGGCCCATCAAACACAAGCAGAGATCAACAAACATTACGCATATCACGGTTTACAGGCACCGGAAGCAATTTGCTTGTCATGTTTGCCATTCAGGACGCCCCTTTCGACTCCCGTAACAAGATAGATACAATATGAACCCTCCATGCGCCCGTCCACGTACAAACGCCGATAAACATGTTGACGATGCAAATGATCTCACAAGCATCAGAATCATGCGGAATGCAGTGCCTACAGATCGAAAGAGATACCTTCGTCGATGCTGGGATCGTATTTGTGCTCCAAGTTCTCTATATCGAGATAATCGTTCGCGTTGTCGAGACATGAACTTGGAAGCGATAGGGATGTGTGTACGGGACTGTGCGCTTCGAAGCTGGGGTGGACTGGATATAGCGATTCCGAAGTTTCATGCAAACTAAATCCCGAGTTCAAAACGGGATCTGAAAGGTATGGTGTACGTTGAGCGGGGTTCCTTGTTTCAACACGAGGGTAAGAAGTGGTGTCGTGGTCGCCGAGAGAGTAGCTGTACGTCGGAGACGAACTGGCATTCGCATTCGATGGAGCGTACCCGTGATAAGCGCTACCAGCGTGTGGCTGAAGGATCGGGGCGGGTGGTAGACTAGAGCACGCAACGTCCTCCAGCGACGTGACTCCATCTGTAGAAATAGCCGACAAAGGCTGTGATCTGATGTTCCATTCCTGGTTGTTGTTGGTTGAAAATGGGTCCGCGTTGAAGACTTGTTCGAATGACCAGGGGTCTGCAGCCGCTGGCGCGTACGCATCGAGATTTGTGCTGGTTTTGTTGGCAAGCCTAGGGCTTTGACCGCAGTAGCCCTCGTCATCCGTGGTCGTTTGGAAGGAATTCTCGTGAGACACGGGCGGTGATAGGGGGGTGTGCATGGTCGCGCTCGAAGGGTTCGTCATGAAATCCACTGCCGAATCGACTGAATTCGATCTTGCAGATTGACGTTCGTGTACCCACGTGCGCGCAAAATCGAGGACCCCTTCTTGAAAGGCTTTTTCTTCCATTGCTCGGCGACCCACAACGCTCACAAGCCCGGAGATAAGTCCATCAAACTGGCCACGATATTCATTGGCCGAAGGTAAAGGTATGGAATCTTCGGCCTCTTTGGGAAATAGGCGGCGGTAAACCAATCTCCACTTCTCCTCTAGTGTCCCGAGACTAATGTAGTCTTTTGTCTTGAAGTTGAAATCGGCATTGAGGCGTTCCAGCGACAAACCGTGTGCTTGTTTCGAATGATCTCTGCTGTGTGTTAGAACCCAAGCAGGTGAAGAGTGCTGATTTTGAACGCAGACATACTTCAACTTGGCAAGCTCAAGATAGCCCTTCCCTTTGCACGATGATAACTGGTGCGCCTTCGGATCATGCTTGTGAAATGGGCAACCCACACGGACTTCCCCCTCTATACCTACCTCGCCATGGTCGCTAGCGCCATCGTCCTCTTGCATGGAGAAGTTGAATTTATCGAGAGCACGATCCACCGGGAACCTGGGGTGGGTTCTGGTTGAAGCGGACCTTTTCCCACTCTTTCGAACCCCACTGCCGTTGCGAATGGGGGTGACCGAATTCATTGCCTTCCTTCTAGTCGCCGGAAGTCTGATTGAACCCTTAGGACCAAGGTCCGCATTTTGCTGCGGAAGGGAATATCGCATGGTGATCTCTGTGGATGCGTAAGAGGGAGCTTCTATGGAAAATTAGCTTTAAGCGCATAAAAGATATTAGAGATTGCATACCAGGCAATCTATATCGGTCAGTCGGTTTCTCTATACGCTTGAAGGCGTTCAAGAGTGCTGACTTTGTTTGCCAGAGATGATAGTGTCTCGCTGCCGGTCAACAAGCGAGATACTACCACCTCGTGACGAGCAGATGATAATATTCAAAAAGAATACTATCAAATGATATGTAACATTGATGTGGCGACGACGTGATAACGATGTATCGACGAGGTCATTGAGAGATCTTTGAAAGATCAAATAACATTGAGTGAACGACGAGTTCAGCAGAAGACACGACTGGTACTCCTCATCTCAAGTTCCAATCAATGCATTATGCATGCAGATCGATAAACACAGAGACGACTGGACCCATCGTAGTGGCTGCTGAACGTCCCAGACTGACAGATCGACAAGTATGCCGTTCGCATCGCGATCCTCAAAAGAGGTTCAAGCGGTATAATGTCCAAGTCTAGATAATCTTGAGATTATAGTCGTTCCAATGGAGTAACAATAAGTGACACAAATAATTTTCAACACCAAAGGACCTGCACCGTGAGGCGTAGGGGTTGAGACCGGCTTTGGGGAGATGTGGTGATGTGGAGATGGGGGTATGTGGATATGTGGATATGTGGATATGTGGTGATGGGGGATGGGTGTAGGTAGGGGACTCACAGCGAGATACTGTAGGGCGATGAATGGGATATTGGTGCTCGGTAAGACAGCGTTGATGATGTTCTCGACTATCGAACAGTTAGTCAAAAAGGGCTAACTAGATTTGAAAACCATACCACAGTTTACGACCTGCGCATTGAGCAATGTGCTCAGTAGATGTGTTCGGTATTGACGCGTGTACGTTGATCGAGCGAAGAGCGATATGTGGGAAATCACGAGAAATGTGGCGTACAGGTAGACCAAGGCGAAAGGGTCGGCTTTTTATACTTCGCCAGACGCCAAGCGATTTGGCACTTCCGTGGAAATTATGCTTACAGAGGAATACTTGAAGAACAAAAAGGAAAGCGATCTGTCGCGTTCACCCAACATCCTGCTGCATCATTGTCGCGGATCATGCCTCTGTCGGCCAAAGCGCGAAACACGGACCGCGTGATCTATGGAAGCAGCGGGAGTGGGAGCTGGGTGCCGATGCATCATGCATCTCGGGTAGCAACGTCTGCTGTTCATGCCAACCAGGCCCTGGACAAGTCTGCAGTAAGGGTTGACATAGCTGTAATGCTAGAGCAAGAATCGATAAACTCTGCATGCTCTTGGCCGAAGGATTGCGTTCAGAATCAACGAGGGGTAGATAAGGCCGCTTCCGCGGCGAGGATTGATTGGACTGCTGCTGCAAGTTTCCAGCTAGACCAGGATCAAAGTAAGACCACACAAGGACCGTATGTGAGCTCAGGACTGAGCTGAAGAAGAAAAACAAACCTCATGTTCGTAATCCAATGAAAGCCAACGGACCAACACCCTGGTACGAGCTCTGGGTTTTGGTAGCTTGGGTCGAAGAGACATCATGTTAAGAACAACCCCACGAGTGCCCGAGAAGCCGGACAAATGATCACATCAGCTCCAATGTTGGTCGGGTTCGCTCAGAAGCATTCGGTACTTCCATACCTGATATACGTGACACGTGAACAGCCGAAACCCGGTGAGGTAGAACGAAGATATCATTCGTCTGGTGCTTCAATAGCGTCTAGTCGATGGTCATTATACACTACCCCTCATACCGGCAACGGAGTTTAATCATCTTGGTCCCAGTTGCCCGGCTGCGCCTTTCCAGGCATCTTGGGTCCACCAGCTTGCCTTGCGACAATGATCTGGTCGACACTGAGAACCGTCCTCGCAGCCTCGGTAGCGAGCTTAATGGCCCACATCTTGCTGACCCAGAGATCGAGAATGCCCTCTTCCTTGGCATCGAGTGTACCGGTGTTGTCGTCGTTCTCAATATCGACACCGACAGTCCACTCGTCGTCTTTCCTGCCTTTCTGTGCAGCGTGTGCGACGTACAGCTTGGCGAGAACTTCAGTTGCGTCCAAACCGGCTGACTCTGCGAGAGTTCGTGGAATGACCTCGAAAGCTTCAGCGTACTTGCGGATAGAGTATTGCGCCAGACCGGATGTCTTGTCCGCAATAGCCTTGATCTTCTCAACAAGCTGCATCTCTGTTGCTCCAGCACCTGGGACCAGTCGAGGATCACGGGTGATGGCCTTGACCACGTTGACACCGTCGTCAATCGCCCGCTCAACGTCGTCAAGGTGGTTCTGAGTAGCGCCGCGTAGAACCAGAGTCGCGGTCCGTGTCTGCTCATTCTCCTGTCTGAATACTGTGACGCGGTCACCGCCAATTTCCAGTGTCTCGACGACGTCGATAATACCCATCTCATCTGGCATAGGTGCACCGAGACGAGCGAGCGGCGTAGCACCGACTACCCTGCATAACCGTCGAAGCTCGAATTTGGAGAGAACCTTGATGACGAGGATGTTGTAGCGGTTGAGGTAGTGGAGGGCCAGCTCTCCGATGGTCGAGCCAGCAACAACGACCCTCATACCGGAGTCGTGGAGCTCCTTGATGATCTGCTCCACCTGCTGCTCCTCGCCCTTTGTGAAGTCCATCATCTCCTTTGCGTTGTGCAACAGTACCGTGCCTTTGGTCTCGGTCTGTGAAATGTCGATGGGACATGAGAAGACTCCGACCTTGGCCTTTGTCGCCTTTGTGACGGTACCGTCTGGCTGTCTTGCGAAAACCATGCCCTTGACGACCTTGCTCTGCTCCAGGGCACCGCCCATGATCTTTACTACGCGGACGTTGTCGACATTGAAGTTGACGGGGTTCTTGGGGAGGACGGCGAGAACGGCTTCGGCGACGAGGTCAGCGAGGAAGTCTTCGCTGCCCGACTGTTTGGCTGCGACTACGGTGCGGATGGCTTTGCTGAGTTCTTGCTGCGAGCGGATGTCTTCGACTTTGTCGCATACCAGTTCTGCGATAGGTTAGCCCCGATTTAGCTGCCAGTTTGCGTGAGTGACATACCCTCCAGTGTCTGCAGAGCCGCAAGCTGTGCCTTCTCGTAACCCAAGACTATGTCACTTGTCTTCAGGCCCATCCGTATTAACTCCTCCGCCTTCTTCAGCAGCTCGCCGGCCAGGACGATGACCAGATTTGTCGCATCACCCATCTCTGCCTCTTGCTGCTGGCTGGCCATGACGAGAAGCTTCGCCGCAGGGTGTACAACCTCGAGTTCTCGCAGTATCGTCGCCGCGTCTGAGGTAAGGATCATTTTCTGAAGGTGGTTTATGACGATCTTGTTACGTCCATAGGGCCCGAGAGAGGTCTGAACGGTCTGGGCAATCGTCCGGCAGGCGTCGATGTTGCGAATAACAGCGCCATCTTCGGCGTCGTAGCTGTTGCGGGGTGGTTAGCTGGTTATTTACTGTGATTGCGGGGTCGCAAAGGGCCATACTTCTGGTAACCCTGCTTGAATAAGCCGGCGTTAGGAGCGTTGGGTATCGTGAGAGACATGTTGGCGGCGTGTGAGGGGTATCAGGGTTGTGGTGGTGTGCCTGCGTCTAAGCTCTGCGCGGCGAGAACGCGTCCAGTCCCAAATTTCGATGCCAAGACTTGGAGATCGGGGGAAGGAAACACCGATAATGCACCTTCAACTGTCCCGGGAGTAAGGTATCAGATGTGATATATTGAGATGATGTGTACAACTACACTACGTCACTTGAATCTTTAATCGTGCGCCTTCTCGGGAGTTGGAATGGGGCAAAGGCGCGTGAAGTTATCAGCCGCCAACGTGATTCTAGCGATAAATAGGTACGGTAGACCTAAGGCCAGCTCCGCTTGAAAGCATACATAGTCGCACGCAACTCATGAGCCAGCGGATAAGCTGACTGTAGTGCCATTTTAAACATAACATCATCACATAGATCAGCATGCAAGCGTATAAGGTCCTTGAGCGCGTAAGAATGTGAGCAAAATCTATCTAGCCGTACACCTTAGGATTTGTGAAGGTACCGCTAGCGAAAAAGACTGCTCGACTCCCTCTAGGCACCGTTAAATGACCAGGATCTCATGACAGTGCGAGTATGCTGGGGATAAGGATAGGTGCCGTAGAGAAGAAGAGATGGTGTTCGCGCCGAAGAAAAGTTAACTCGGAATATCTGCTTAGGTAATGCCGCTAGACCCAATGCACCTCCGCTCCCCGAACTTTTCTGAGATCTCGAGATGGCAGCGGCTGCATCGAGATACCGCGGAGGGCACTGGGAGAAATGAACGCCGGACAGCAGACAACGAGACGATTGGCCTCACGAGCCGGTATGGAATGCAATTGGGGCTAGAGGCAACTGGAGCGCTGACGAACGAAGGTCAATCAATATGTCGCTCATGTAGAGACACCGTCGCCCGCACATATGCATCCGCTGCCGCCGCCGCCGTCCAAACCGAGGACCAAGTCGCCCAACACATTCCTCCCGTTGCCCAGATATCGCCGTCAACATCCTACGCCGTCAACGCTGGTGTCGTTCTGTCCCGCCCCCCGCAAATAACACGCGACCTCCACCCTTTCGAAGCTGCCTTTTTCCTATACCAACGACGATTGAACGAACGACTTGCGCTACCCTTTACAAGATACTTCTACGTAAAGAAGCGAACACCTGCAGATCTAGAATGGAAACGGAAAATGAAGCAACGGCTGACCCCCGCCCGC